CATTTTGAAAGAGAGAACTAAGGCAGAATGGATGTAGAACATAATGCAGTAGCATGTGTTAAATCATCGCACAGAGCATTGTGGTATGCAAGTTGTAAGAGCAACAGTTAAACATGGTTTTGATTGTCCCAAGTTTGAAATATTATATGCAGATACATAGAGGCTGTCTTTATAAAGTTTTTGTTTAAATAATTTTACTAACATTTCAGAGAAACTACTGTAACCACCCAGAAAATTGCATTGTCTGTTTCTGTTCTTCTATTGAATATTACGCTTCAGAAAATTGATTATTTTCCAGTGAATGTCAAAGATCTTACTGAACTGTTGTGTTTTATCTTTTTTGTCTTCCTGCAGGATGTATTCCTCATTAAAAATACAAAAACTCTTCTAAATATTATTTTTTTCTAACCAGGGGTGCGCCAGCTTGAAATTATGTGCTGTTTTGGCTGCATGTCAGTTCTTGCCAACTACTTCGTGTTCATGACTTTTTTCCCAGCCTGTGTTTCCTTAGTATTAGAGGTAAGAATAACTCTTACTTTTGGCATTAATGGTTCCTTGTTGGTGGCATATCAAGTCAGCGTCAACCTATAGCTGGCCCTCCAGCTGTTTTTCAGATGCAGTAAGTCATACTGAAGGAAATTGCCCACGCTTGTCTCTCAGAACAACTAATAGATACTGCTTACATTTGCATTGGTAGCACACTTCCTTACCACTAAGCCAACAGCTCGCTTTGGCATTAGAGTTGTTGTGTACTGTAGAGTCGGAACCAACCCATAGCTAACCCTCCCAACGGGTTTTCAGAAGCAGTGAGTTACACCGGAAGAGATTGCCCATTCTTCTCCCGTGGAGCAGCAGTTTGAACTTTGTGCATTTGGGCTTGCACTGCAGCTTCTTGCCACTAGGCCACCAGAGCTACCTTTTAGCATCAGTTGTTGTTGTTAGGTGCCTTCGCATCGTGGATGACTCATAGCAACCCTATGAACTTAAGACCTGAACACTATATAACCTTCATTGTTGCAGACTGAGGGTCCCAAAGAATGAAATAATTTTATAATTATTAATAATGAGACAGACTACCAGGAATGATATAGAACAGAGAGTGTGAAAAACAGGGGGCCAACAGTCCCCATGACTGAAGGCCCCAAGCAATGCTTCTCTGAGTATTTATTTAGAATCATAAGGAAGATAAGCAAAGTAAAATCACAAGGAAGTACAAAGCAAAAACAAAGGATAATGGTGAAGTCTTTTACAGATAAGGCCAAGTTCCTCTTTATGCTAATCTCAAGAGGGAGGGATTCATTTGACACAAACTAAGAACAATGCCTCCTAGGTGACCTTCAGCTTGTATTAAGCTTCCCTCATTTCCCGATACAGCATTTGGTCTACTATTATTTAATTTGATATTCGGCTTCCCTCACTTCATAGTTTCTGGAGGCAAACTGTTTTGAAAGTGGACACCACTCCTGCAGAGGAGTAATACTACTAATTACGTCAAATTGACTAAATAGAACCCATTTTTTAATGCATCAGTAACCAACACTGACTCTATTTTGCAGCTTTCTCGGGAAAGCCGTGAGGGTCGTCCAATATGGCAGCTCAGTCATTTTGCTCGTGTTTTAGAGGAAGAAGAAAATAAACCAAATCCTGTAACTCAGAGGGTCAAGATGATTATGGTAATTACCTAGTTTGCCTTCTAATTCAATGTCTTTGGTTCCAGTGTCATGTTCTACTTGCAATTTCTTTTTTTTTCCCCTCTGATTATAATCTTTGTACATTTTATGACTTTCGTTCCACTCTTTTCTTCACCTATTCATTTCTTGTGGCTTCTAATCAGTATTACTGTCTCCACTAAACAGATTTTTCAAGTTCCTCCACATTCTCTCTTTGAAAACTTGTGCTTTGGGATATTCTCAGCATAAGATCCCTATCTTAATCACAAAGAAAATTCAGCACATTGTGTGTCCATGAAATAGAGTGACTGGTAGCTAATTGTTGAAGGATCATATTCTTTTTGTTTTTTTTGTCTTTATTGACTTTATTTTCATTTTTGTACACAAAGAAAAGTCGTGTTCATATCCATCATGAACAAAAACTTAAAAAGGCAGAACTAGAAGACATGTGTCCGTCACCAAAGCAAAGCTGTGCTAAAGGTTCCAAACATTTCAATTCTTAAAATAAATATTTTCCTTTTTCCCGGTGTCGACTTTCATGTCTTCATAGAGTCACAAGGAACTGAAGCCTATCATGAGTTACAATTTTGCTCAGAGTCCCGGAGGATCATATTCTTTTAATAGATGATATATGAGGCCAAACATTTCATCTATAATAACTCATTCTTGGGGAAGTGTTAAGGACTTGGGCTTTATTTAACTTGGTTTTTAAAATTTTTATTTCAGTCTCTAGGTTTGGTTCTTGTTCATGCTCATAGTCGTTGGATAGCTGATCCTTCCCCTCAAAACAATACAGCAGAAAATTCCAAGCTTTCCTTAGGATTGGATGAAAATGTATCCAAGAGAATTGAACCAAATGTTTCTCTCTGGCAATTTTATCTTTCCAAGTAAGTTAACTGTAGCCAGTTTTTCTACCCTCTATATTTTTATAAGCTTAACTGGTTCCTATTATGTTCCTTCTAAATAATATTTTATTTGCTGTCTTTTATTTTAGAATGGTCAGTATGGATATTGAACAAGTTATTACTCTAAGTTTAGCTCTACTTCTGGCTGTCAAGTATATCTTCTTTGAACAAGCAGAGACAGAATCTACATTGTCATTGAAAAATCCTATCACATCTCCTATCTTGACCCCAAAGAAAGTCCAAGACAATTGTTGTAGACGTGAACCTACCCTAGTCAAAAATAACCAGAAAATCCCTACAGTAGAGGAAGAGACAGAAATAAACCAAGAAAGAAAAGGTAACTCTTTAGAAATTCTCATTACTCTTCAATACTAAGTTGTGAAAAAAATCTTATATTTACAATTCTTTATCTGATGTTCAATGTTCTGAGATTTAATTTAATGTCTTAAACAGCTGAAGTTATAAAACCCTTAGTGACAGAAGCTGACACCTCGAACAGAGCTACATTTGTGGTTGGCATCTCTCCCTCACTTGATAATTTACCAGTACTGGAGACACAGCAGCCTGAAATTAAATTTCCCAGGGAGCCTCGGCCTAATGAAGAATGTCTACAGATACTTGGGAATGCAGAGGTGAGAGAAAGAAAGCAAAATCAAATGTGGCGTCTTTCTTTAAATAAAAGAGCTTTTATTTTGAATCACCAGACATTTGCTAAATGCAGGAAAAAAACTGATATTTACTGGGTACTCCCAGGTTCTAAACATAGTATTCTATGATGACAGGTATTTTCTTGATGTCCCACAACCTTATGAGGCAGGCAACACGACCATCATCTTTTAGGAGAGAAACCCAAGGCTCCAGGAGGTTTATTATTATTTTCTTTTTATCTCTTGTTAGGTGCTGTTAAGTATGACTCATAGTGACCCTCTGAACAATTGATTTGAATACTATCCTATCCTGTGCTATCATCCCCCAAATCTCTGACACTCTCAAGGCCCTTTCCACAGTCATCATGTCAACTCACCTGAGCAAGGTTTTCCTCTAATAGCAAAGCTGGAAATAGAGTCCATCCCCTGGAGTCAGTGTTCTCTCTAGTTCATTACTGCTTATCAGGAGTAACTACTGTATTCTCATAAGTTTTGAGGTGTAGAATAGGTTTAATGCAGAGATGAGGCTTCAGAAGTTTCATTTTGAGTAAGTAGTACGCAGAAGGTGATTTTCTTTTCTGAAATTTAAACGGTGCTCTTATATAGAAGAAATACTCGGTAAATTTTAAAAGAATGTGAATGTATATGTATTGATAATACCCTAATAATTTATCTAGTTTATCTTCATATTCTTTGGAAAATCTCATTAATGTTAATGCTTTCAAAAATGATTCTAAATGTATTAGCATCATAAACCATTAAAAACAAAACAAACCCACAATCAACCAGGGGGAAGATTGGTTATTTGTATCCAAGCTTTTAGCATTAATCTCCCAAATATATGAAGCACTTCTAAAAATTTATCAGATAATTAAATATTTAAAATAAGTAATACAAGAAACTGTTTTGGGGGGAAATGTGAATTACTTTTAAAAATATTAAAAGTTGATTAGCATTATTTGTAATAAAGTTAAATCTGCACAAAATACCTCCATACATCAGATTTTAAAAATTCCAAACACTTAATAACATACTCTAGAGGCTGTGGAGAAAAGGAAATTTTCTTACATTGCTGATAAGAAATAATTTTGCAGTATGGTTAAAATTATGCATATTCAGTATTTTGTGTATATGTGGTGTTGACAACGAGTAAAGAATAACCCATGGGCTGTCAAAGCAACAGTCTGCCTTAGAGGAAGTGCAGTCAGTGTGCTCCTCAGAGGCAAGAACAGTGAGAACTTTATTCTCACACACTTTCAGGATATTGTCAAGAGGCACCATCCTTGGAAAAGGTCACCAGGGAAGCTAGTAGGGTCAGTTAAAGAGAGGAAGATCTTCAAGAGGGTTGATTGACACAGTGACTACAACTGTGGGCTTGTGCAAAGTCGAGATTGTGACGATTGTGCAGGATAGAGCAGGGTTCAAATCTGTTCAAAAGGTGACTGAATTGTGGTTATCTTGATGCTGTCTAACAACAACAAAAGAACTTCTTCCTTTACAGATAAGGGAAAAGCTTCAAGTTGTATGTTGTTATGTACTGTCAAGTTGCCTGCAGCCCATAGTGTGACCCTACATACAGCATTTCTGAACCCTGCCCTGTCGTGAGCCAGTCTCATTGATACCAACACCCACTGCTTCAGTTACTGTATCGATCCATCTCATCCAGGGTCTTCCTCCCCTGCGCCATCCCTCCACTCTTCCGAACATGATGTCCTTCTCTAAGAACCAGTCTCTCCTGGTCCAAAGTATATGAGATAGAGTTTCAAAATCCTGGCCTCCAAGGAAAGACTTGGTTTCATCCTTTCTAAGACAGGCCTGTTTGTTTTCTTGACAGTCTATGGTATGTTCAAGTTGTATAATAAATACGAAAATGCCATCATTTAGATTAAAAACATAAAAATTGCCAAATAAAATTTGAGTATTTAAAAAGCTAAGTATGCACAACAAAGTAAAGAAGTAGTTAACTGTTTACCTATTTGAATGTAAGTCATTGAGAAGAATTGGATAGAAAAGGATTAGTTGGAAAACTTCTTTATAAAAAGGTTTTATACTCTAAATCTTAAAAGTAGGGTTTAAAAAACTTTATCAATAACTGATACATACTACATACAGTTGAACCTTTCATATTTAGTTTTAGACTTTTTTTTCTAAACACATGTGATGGAAGTAGTTGTTATATACATATACCATGAAGTCAGAAACAATGCATGGCTGACCCTCCAGCTGGTCTTCAGAGACTGTCAATCACGTGGTTGCAGATTGCCCATCTTTGTCCCATGGAGCAGCTAGTAGAACCCAACCATTTGCCTTTGGATTGACAATTACCAGGAGACCAGTAGAACCTAGTAAAACATTGCAAAAATGACAGTATTGCAGTATTTATGATTTTTTTTTTAATTTGGCATGATTTATATTAACTTATTTTATTATGCATATATATTTTTGTTTTATTAAAAACAGTGATGTAACCAGATATATGCTAATTAGGGATTAATGAAATTACTTATTCTAATGTATTAATCTTTCAGATCATATCATTTTCTCTTCCCTTGTCCCCCCCTTTCTTTTAGAAAGGTGCAAAATTCCTCAGTGATGCTGAGGTCATCAGATTAGTCAATGCTAAGCATATTCCAGCTTACAAATTGGAATCGCTTATGGAAACGCATGAACGAGGCGTATCTATTCGACGACAGATACTTTCCAGAAAGCTTCCAGAGCCTTCTTCTCTCCAGTATCTACCTTACAGGGACTATAATTATTCACTTGTAAGTTATTTTCTTCCTTAGACTGGATTTGCTTTGTATCTTTATGATTTTTCTCTCAACGATGAGAAATCATTTTTATAAATAATTTTTAAACCTTTCAGTGTAATTTTATACTCTTGTCAATTCTGATTTAGGATGACTTATGTTACAACCACTTGGCCAACTGACTGAAGAGATCTATATTTATTCCTATCCCAAAGAAAGGTGACCCAACAGAATGTGGAAACTACAGAACAATCTCACTGATTTCACATGCAAGCAAGATTTTACTGAAGATTATCCAAA